AAAAGTAATTAATTTATAGAAATTTGCTGAACTTTGTAGATTTATTAGTCACACACCTGACTACGCCCCTGTCCTAAACTATATAAACCTAAATCTGTATTAGGTAAAACCTGATGTTTATTCAAACATGTATTTATGTATGTGCACATGTTTGAATTTACAAATTTAAATTAATTAATTAAACAAATATTTGAAGCAAAAAAATGTTCTAAAACTGAATAATTGGAATATTGGAAATTGATATTCCACTTATTCAGTTTTATATGATCTTAAAGATGCCACAAACAGCTAAAAATGTTAAAAAGAATAAACAGTTTATAATATATGTACACAATAGCACCAGTTTGTGAATATTACAAGATGTTTTGTAGATTGCTCCAAAAATCATTTGCTATTACGTTGGCATATAAGTGAACTTTCTAAGCATGGGGGAAAAAAATCTCTTGAAACTACAGTCAACTTACATGCCAGATATAAAATACAAAACCTATGCAAGAATGGTAAATAATTCATCCTAACAAATCACTGTACACACTTATTGTATAACTCCAACAGACTTTATCCAAATTTCCTTGGTAAGAACTTGGTAAGAACATTATCTAGTATAGCCTTACATGCTTTCGTCAAAAGATTACTGTATACCTATCTACATTTCAGTTCTAGTCTGGACGCTGACTTATATAACAGGTGTACATTAAAATCAAAATTTTGCACTGAAAATCTTAATATTAGCTTATATGTCAGGACAACTTATACATTAACATAAATACAATCATAATAAATAGAGACTCTTTAAACTTTATTAGTAATCTTGTGTTTCTTAAGTAAATATCATTCCAAAGTTATCTATATAAATCTCTCAAAACCTTATGTTATTAGTCAATACCAAACGATTGCTGTAATGTATTGAGCTATTTTTTGGCTACTATTAATAATTAAATTTTTAAGTAATTTGTTACTAAAGATAAGCTTTAGGTGCATCTCTTATTAATTTTAATAATTATAATAATTTAGAATAGTCTAGAAAAAAGAACTGGCCCAAGTGGACTCAAACCTACAAATCCTGCTTACCATTGCTTCAGTGGGGCTAACAGTACACAGTTAACAGTACACTGTTAGCCGCACTGAAGAGGCCTTTGGCAAAATGCATTTGGGGAGCTTGTTAGTAATGTAAATAAAAGTTTTTTCTTTGCAAATTGTTTTCTTTTTATACCTTTTAACTTTAAAAAAATTTTAGTCATTATTGGTTTAATGTTTTAAGATTTGAAGTTATATAATATCCAAAAAGTCAGAAAAGAAAGAAAAATATAATTTTTTCGTATATTTTACATTTATGTAAGAAGAAAAAGGTAAAAAGATTGGATTCTTTTAACATTCCTGGCATGACAGACTGTTTAATTAAATTCTAAGAGTTTTTAAGTGCTTTGATTTTGTCGTTTTTGTAGCAATTTAATTTTAAGTTAGACTTAAGTTCAACTGTCAGGAAAGTTTTATAAATACTATCTTTTTTGGATTTTTGTTCTTTGAATTGAACTAGTTATAGTTCTGAGGTTTTCTTTTTAATGACTTTTTGATTTGTGCAAATTATTACAACTTACTTAGTCTCATGTTTTGGGTCTACATTTGTACAGGTACATAATTATTTTCATAATAAGTATTTATTAAATATTTTTGAGTTTTGATAAATTGTGATTTGTTTGTCTATTTATCATTTGCAAATGAGTGTGTTTGCTACATAGATATTTTTTTTGCTTCTCTATGTCTGAAGTCCAGGCCTGACAATCAAATGAACCCATCTTTCATTTACATAACACCATTTATTAGGTTTAATTCTGCAGATCAAATGATGTGTTACACACTTAGTGCCTTCTTCAAAGCTGGAAAAAAGTGTAAGTTGCTGGGCACTANTTTATTAATTTTAATATTTGTCTACACCGATCCCATTGTTTTTATTATTTACTTAAAATTATTATTAATAAAACACTTGCTATGTGTTACACATTGATCTGTAATCCTTCAGTGACCATTTTATACATTGATTCTAATCCAATTAAATATGTATCTTCTATTAGCAACTTGGGCATAGTTTTTGACACCAGACTTACTTTCAAAAATCATATTGATAAACTAGTTAAAGTTCTTGCTATAAGACATAGAATTTTATCGCAATTTTGTAAGCCCATCTTTAATAAAAGAGCATTGCAGACCATTTTTTATGCTAACTTTCAGTGATGTGTTAATTATGGCTTGCCCATATGGTCAATGGCTACACCTTCCCTTTTAGACAAGATTACTTCAGCTATTAAACCTCATGTTTAACAAAATGTATAACCTGCTTTTCATTCTTGACTGAAATATCGCTAGAATTTGCCTGGGTTTCCCATCTTTCTTTGAGAGAATTAAATATTTTGACCAGCTAATTTATTACAAATATTTTAATGGTCTTATCTATCAAGATTGGCTTTCACTCCAAATCCCATTGAGAAATGGGATTTGGAATGAAACTTTGTTCATTTATTTACATTTTTACTCGCTTTTTTGTCTAAATACCCCAACAATCTTTTTTTTTTTTACCATATTTTGTGAAACCTTAATAATTTTGATAAATTTTTATATCTTAAACTCCCTGTTTTTAAAACAAAATATAAAAAGTGCTGTATCACTTTTAAGATTTGTTATTTGTTTTTTTTATTGGGGCTTTTTTGTTTGTTTTTTTTTATATAGGTTTTGTAGGGGATGGAAATCAAATGTCTAATCAGACTATTTCTGTAAATTTAACAAATAAATAAATAAATTAATTAATTAACCATTCACATGCCCACCATAAACTATGTGGTTTTCCTCCACTTGCAGGCATTGCAGACATCTATCATCATATCACAGCACATTGGTGGAGCTCTAATATCATACAATCTATTTACCTGTTTATTCAGGTTTCATTTCTGTGTACAGTATTGCATACCAGGATGCCAAACTACTTGCCCATCTGCTTCCAAAAAAGTCAGTACTGAAGAGCAACAGGTCACATCATTCATTGCCTTTAGATAGTCTTTAGGTCTATACATACTTAGTAATTTGGCACTCTTGCTAATCTGGCTCCTTTCTATGCAAGGAATGGCCAGATTAGCAAGAGTCCAATGTATCATGTTTATAAATAAATTTCAGTATTGGTATAAATATATTGAGAATTTGATGCTGATGTGATATTTATTTTATGATAGAAAAAAATATATATTATTATGCATGTCCATCGATAAGAGTTAACATAAACTGATGATTTCAGTTTTCTTGGATGGTTCTATATATACACTTGAAAGAAAAGAATTAATGACTAGTACTTTATAAGAAAGTATTCTTAATTTTAAAATCAACATTAATTGAATACAGAAAAACAGAATTTCTGATATTAAATCATTAGTCTATTTATGAAAATATTAAATAAGGATAAGTATATGTTTAGATATTATGTCACCTTAAATTATGGCATCCTTGTCCAAGAGCAACAAGAGATGAATCTGTCAAGTGTGAGCAGTTTGATACACAAAGATAATACAATTTAGGACATTTTTGACTAATGCATAAAATTGATTCATCTGTTATATTCTGCAAAATACATATTTTCAAACTTTTTAAATAAAAAAGTTAAAATATTACAAATAAAACCAAATGTTCTTACCACACACCCATGTAGATTTATAACTTGTAAATTTGAACAAAACCTTGTTAATTCATAAATAGCTTCATCATTGACCTGTTAAAAATATTTTGTATGTTACTTTTTCTACAAAGTTATGATATTAGAGTAAAGTAAGTAATAAAGATATATATAATTTGCCAGCAAGGTACAAAGGATTGGCAATCTTAGTATTTCCTAGACAAGGTTAAGATTACCAATAGTGCTCTATGCATTGTCTGAAAACATATCAGGCAAACTTAAAATTTGCCAGGCAATTGTTTGAATATTGGTATTTTTGTTCACATGTTTCACAGATCTTAAATTTACCCAAGCTAGACAATGTAAATTTCCAAAGTTTCAAAGCAAATTTCATTATATTAGTGGACACTATATAAACTTTTTTCAGTTTGCACATACTGAAAAATACTGTTTATTAGAGAGCATGTACTATTAAAGGGCACTGTTTATTAGAATATAGTTTATTTCAGTATTTGTCAAGTTTCACTGCACAAAAAAGTGCACCATGCAAAGTAAAATGCAAAAAGACAAAGCTGCTATTTAATTTTTGATGCCATAATTCAAACTCTTATAAGCAAGTCTTATAACAAGTCTACATAAGATATATCTTATTAAAACAATATGAATCTAAGAACATGTCAAGAAACATGTCAGTTAAAGAAGAACAAACAAAAATTCAATAAGTAAGGTTCATTCTTCAATAAAAAGTGTTATCAAAACTCTTGTTACTTTTCATCTCATACCTATTTAGCCTGGAAAAGTAGGCAATGAGAAAAACAAAACATTTATACATTGCCTAGACAGCTTTAGTCATTCTTAAGGTTGCCTAATCTGCTTTCATGCTGAGTCTTGCACAAATCAGACTTTGCCTAACTTAGTTGAGTGAACTTAAGATCACCTAGGTAACATGTGAACAAAAAATAACCATATTTAGACATTGCCTGGCAATCATAAATTTGCCTAATTTGTTTTCAGGCAAAGTTCAAAATAAAACTTCATTTCAGACAATGCATAAAACACTGCCAACAGTCTTAACTCTGCCTAGGAAATCCTAGGATTGCCAATCCTTCAGACCTTGCTGATAAATCTACTGGTTTGATTTTCTAAATGTACATTACATTTAGAAAATCAAACCAGTAATCAAAGGTGTATGAAAATCAAACCGGAAATCAAAGGTGTATGATTACATAACACCTTTTTATCAGTAAACATTTTACTACATATAAGTACTTTTAGTCTAATTTAGACCTTCAGGTACTCAACATAAATTCTATAAAGTATTCTAAAATTAGAGAACCTGAAGACAGTCTAAATTAGACTGGAAGTACTTGTTCATAATAAAACTTTCTCTGTTAATAAGGTGTTGATAATTACACATTTAGTAAAAATATCTTTCTAAACCAAAATATAAAATAATACATAGGAAAAAATTCAAATTTATTTGCATTCAAAAATTCTGAAAGTAAAAATAATTTGAATCAACAAAATATTGAATTATTAATTTTGAGCATTTATTAATATAGAATACATATATAAACATTTATAATTTCACAAAATATTTTTTGTTGTTTTTATTTATATGTACACTTTATTAAATAAAAAAGATTTATGGATTTATCATTATTCACCATTAGTTTGAGGTAAATAATTCATATACATGCCACTCAATTTAACATTTTTAATAATATCATTAAATATCACAACAGCTATATATATATCATAATATATAATCATAAAGTATATTATCATGAATACAAATTGGCAGTTTAATATGGAATCATTATTTCTAAATTCCTTGGAAATATATAAATAATATCTACTTGGATGTTTCATAAATATTCATACTTACAAGTGAACATCCTTTACTAATAAAAGATTTTAGTTTAGGACAACCTCGTGCTAAAGCTTCAACACCATGATTAGATATTTGATCACACCATGAAATATTAATATTCTCCAAATTTGGACATCCATCCCTGAATTAAATATAAAGTTCATAAAAACTGATGTATTAATTATAAATTAACATCATATAAATTAGCTACAAGACAATTTCATCAAGGTAACCTTTTACCTAATGAATAATAAATGTAAAATGAACAAAAACAAAAGATATAGAAAAAGCAATGGCAGAAAATAATTATTTTTTTTGTAATTATCTTACAGGAAGTAAATGATTTAAATAAACTGTGCATAATATTTCATAACAGATAAAATGAAGAAAAAATTTTTATATATGTTACTGTGAATGACCGATATCTGTCGAATGTCAGCATTCACACAGTCATTTCATGTACGTACGAAATACTTCCTAAATATCATTATTTCTCACTTACACCGGAAAATGTCGACATTCAGCATGCACTGATGGTGAATGTTAAATAAAAATATTTTTATTACGTTAAGACAAAAATGCAACATTTTAATATGTCAAAATAGGAGAAAGCTTAAGTAACATCACATGTAAATAAACTGTTGAACCTAAAACAAGCAGTACATTCTTAATCAGAAAAGAAAAATAATATGCAATAGTAAACTTACACATATATTATGTGATTAATGTTATACAATCTTATTTATTGCAACAACTTAAACTGTTATGGCACTTTGAATTGCACGAGAGTCCCTTGCTTTTACAACTGCATTTATTCGTGGAACACTTTTTATTTTTTTTGCAATGACAGCGTGTATAGCCTTGCCCTCCACTTTTCAAATTAGCTGCAGCTGCTTCTCTCAGCGATATTTTTTGAGAAGAAATCTCATCTATGGAAAGTAACTTTTCTTTACAAATTACAAACTGATTATGTGATTACGAATTGATGACGTAATTACGAATCTGTTAATGGTGTCTTTTATTTGAACATCACCGACGCCTTACCGCCGACCCTCTCATCCTCCGCCACTAGACCTGACAAACCATTCAAAAGAACAAAAACACCATCCAGTGACAAAGTGGACGGTTTCCACCAAACCATTGCCGGGAAAAGAGGTACGACCTTATCCTACCTCCAGTTACCCACAAAGGATTTGGCGGCAGACTGTCGCCTCTCTGTTGACATTGGCTTCTCGGGTGTCGTTTCGACCTCCACCAAAGTTTATCTGTGCTTGTCGACATACACTGGCGATTGTTCGAATGTATATAATATAACCAAATATTCAGTCTTTCACCAACATATTTTGTATGTGTCGACAATCACCAGAGAATATTGACATTCTCTAATTTTGGTCTTTCACAGTAACATATATAAAAATTATGAAGTTCTTAAAATATTATAACAAAAAAAGAATCCAAAAAGTTTTCAATTATTTTCAGTTTTTCTGTCTCAACTTATTAAACAGATATGCAAAAAAGAGAATAAAATATAGTTAGCTGAGAGAAAGAAAAAAATTATTCCAAATATCACAATCATTTGATTTATGAAAGAAAAGAAATGAATTTGTTGGATTCCTACTTTTTGCAGATAAACTTTGTATAGAATATCAAATAGCTAGCAAAGTGTAATAAAAGCTACTACAGCTTCTATTAACAGTTAAAATTGAAAAAAGTCTCAATGAAAATATTTAGTAGTATTAACAGAAGGAAAAAATAGAAATAAATTTCTAATATATTTGTACAGAGTACAGCTATACAGATGCAATGAAATCTAATTGCCATTGCAAATTATTATAATTTTATGGAAAATATAAATATACATAAGAAGATATACAAATTCTTTTTTATGCTTACTTTAGTCACAAAACTTGTTCTAAGTAGCATTGTATCAGAACTCGTTGAAAAGCTATCAACTTATATCAAACAATAACAAAAAACAGCATTCATGAATAAGAGATTAAAAACATTTCAAAGATTTTAAAAAATTTGTAATACAGAAAAAAACTTGCAAAATCTAAGACAGTAACAAAAATATTTCAAACAACTTGATACAAAACTAGAATTTTCTTCTCAGCTTGAAATAGTAATGAATTATTTTTAGTTGAGTCAGATTTTAACTAACTTATCATTTAGTAAAATATAATAATTTTAAATATAAAAATATTGCTGTCTGATTTTCTTGATTCTAAGATGCTTCATGAGTTTGGAATCAAATGTTAAGATCTCTCTGTATAAAGGAAAAAATTTTAAGCTTTTTTAAGTAACAACAAGTTTGAAAAATAATACAAAATGCTAAGAAATATGGAAATAGAACTGATGAGCTCTTCTGTATTTATAATAAATTTTTTAATGCTACACCTTAATGTTATTTTAAAAGGCATTTTAAAAAATTAAAAATGGAGTTTAAATTAAATGTTCATTACCAGTAAGGCTCAATTGAACTGTCAAGCAACATATCTAAAAACATCTATTACTGATACATAATGTACCATTATTATAGGTAGACAATCAGAATTATTGGAATAAGACTAAATTAATAATTAGATATAAAGTAAAGTGTCTACAGGTAGGCAATTACGATATGATCTCATGATAATTTTTTAATAATTATAATAAATTAATTTTAATTTAGCATTTCTGGAAGAAAAGAATTGGACCAGAGTGGAAACACATACAGTTACTTATTACAAAGATGAAAATAATGTATTTACAGTAAAAAGTGAACTTTCATTTGAATAATGAAACTGATAAAAAAGATCATTTCTCTTGTCTTTTTCATTCATTAAATATGTCATTTCAAAACACTGTAAGACATTTTTTCTCTTCTTCAAAAATATGAAAAAACTGCAGATTTAGTTAAGATATATTATATGCATAGCATAAAATATGAGTTCTCAGATAAATTATGTATTAGTCATTACTCCGTGTGTCATTATTTTTCATCTCAGTTGAAATATCATTTCAATTATGCTTAAAAAAATTATAAAGTAGTTTATTATTCAGAACATATTAAATATATCCAAGTATTTTACAAGCCAGTTAAAAAATGATAAAATTAATAAATGCTAATTATAAGTTATTTCCATTCAAATGTAATATTACTTTATTTGTATAATAAACAATAACATAATACTATAATATAATATATAACATCAACAAAAATCAATCATTGTTTCTGAAAAAGAGATTATATCAATATCTTAATAGCAATGTCATTTTAACTTAAAAAAACATATGTATTTCTTTTCAAGAAATTTTATTTTAATTTTTGTTGATTATAATTTCAAGAAAAAATGTAAAACTATTTACTCACCCTATAGCCTTTAATGATAGATTTGTAACTTGTGAGCAAGATCCTAAATCAAGATGTATCAATTTTGGACAGTATTTGCTGAGACTCTGGCAAGTACTGGAAAATTTAAAATCTCACAGTATAAATTACATTAGAAAACTTACTGTAATTTTATAAGTTAACTGAGTGTTTATTAAAATAAAATTACTTAAAATGGAAAATTCTGAAACAATTTTATATTTACAGGCAAGTAGTAAACAACTGACTTATGGAGAACTCATACTTACAAATGAAATGCTATAAAGTCTACTCATTTAACTTTTTTACTATTATTAGGTAGTATGTTATTGAGTTTATGATGATTATGTGTATTTGAATCTGTTATATGCATAGAAAGTTTTATTTTGATCTGTAAGTGTTTTATATGCATAAAAGTTATATATATATATATAATGTGGTACGATCCAAAAGTTTGGGGACTGCAGTAATGTATGACAATAAAAGCATGTATTTGAAGTTACAGCATATGAAATGGATTCTACCAAACCACTCCTACGTGTTCAGGTTGGTTTCGCTCAGTTACCTTTGTTTTGCAACGTAATAAAAATGGAGTTTCAAGAACAGCACTGCAACATTAAATTTTATCAGTGTTTAGGTAAAACACCTATGGAGACTTTAAAATTGCTAAGAAAAGTGTACGGTGATTCTACCATGGCCAAATCAAAGGTGTACAAATGGCATCAGAGTTTTAAAGAGGGCCGAGAATCCATCGCAGATGATGAACGCTCTGGCCGACCTTCGACTTCACGGAACGAGGAAAATGTTGAGTTGGTCTCTCAATGTGTTCGCAAAGATCATCACCAAACCCTTGAAAAAATTGCTGCGGCTACTCACTTATCAAAGACTAGATGCCAGCATATTTTAACGAAAGATCTTAACATGCACCAAGTGTCTCAGCACATTGTCCCTTGGCTTTTGACTTCTGAACAAAAGGAAGAACGAATGAGAATATCAGGTGATTTAATCGACAAAGCCAATAAGGCTTTTTTGAACCACATCATAACAGGTGATGAAACATGATGTTATTTATTTGATATCCAATCAAACCGTGCTTCTTCAACATGGAAATCACCCTCCTCACTACGATCGAAGAAATTCCGGCAGGATCGGAGCAAAGGGAAAGTCATGATGGAGGTGCTTTTTGATTCTCAAGGAATTGTTCATTCAGAATTTCTTCCCAAAGGCAGAACAGTAAACAAGGAGCATTATCTGGACATTTTACGTCGTTTGAGGGAATCCATTCATCATAAACAGCCGCAGATCTGGCAAAGTGGAGACTGGTACCTTCTGCATGACAACGCACCTGCACATCGGTCCCAAATGGTCACACAGTTTCTCGCCAAAACTCAAATTAGTGTGCTTCCACACCCCGCCTATTCACCAGACTTAGCTCAATTGGAGCGAGCAAACTGCTCCAGGTGCATGAATCATGAGGGCGCCAAATTAGAAAGGCAAAATAAAAACTTGTAAAAACATTTGTAAAAAAATTATAATAAAATTTCAAATTTTCGAACAAAACAAAAGTAATTAATTTATAGAAATTTGCTGAACTTTGTAGATTTATTAGTCACACACCTGACTACGCCCCTGTCCTAAACTATATAAACCTAAATCTGTATTAGGTAAAACCTGATGTTTATTCAAACATGTATTTATGTATGTGCACATGTTTGAATTTACAAATTTAAATTAATTAATTAAACAAATATTTGAAGCAAAAAAATGTTCTAAAACTGAATAATTGGAATATTGGAAATTGATATTCCACTTATTCAGTTTTATATGATCTTAAAGATGCCACAAACAGCTAAAAATGTTAAAAAGAATAAACAGTTTATAATATATGTACACAATAGCACCAGTTTGTGAATATTACAAGATGTTTTGTAGATTGCTCCAAAAATCATTTGCTATTACGTTGGCATATAAGTGAACTTTCTAAGCATGGGGGAAAAAAATCTCTTGAAACTACAGTCAACTTACATGCCAGATATAAAATACAAAACCTATGCAAGAATGGTAAATAATTCATCCTAACAAATCACTGTACACACTTATTGTATAACTCCAACAGACTTTATCCAAATTTCCTTGGTAAGAACTTGGTAAGAACATTATCTAGTATAGCCTTACATGCTTTCGTCAAAAGATTACTGTATACCTATCTACATTTCAGTTCTAGTCTGGACGCTGACTTATATAACAGGTGTACATTAAAATCAAAATTTTGCACTGAAAATCTTAATATTAGCTTATATGTCAGGACAACTTATACATTAACATAAATACAATCATAATAAATAGAGACTCTTTAAACTTTATTAGTAATCTTGTGTTTCTTAAGTAAATATCATTCCAAAGTTATCTATATAAATCTCTCAAAACCTTATGTTATTAGTCAATACCAAACGATTGCTGTAATGTATTGAGCTATTTTTTGGCTACTATTAATAATTAAATTTTTAAGTAATTTGTTACTAAAGATAAGCTTTAGGTGCATCTCTTATTAATTTTAATAATTATAATAATTTAGAATAGTCTAGAAAAAAGAACTGGCCCAAGTGGACTCAAACCTACAAATCCTGCTTACCATTGCTTCAGTGGGGCTAACAGTACACAGTTAACAGTACACTGTTAGCCGCACTGAAGAGGCCTTTGGCAAAATGCATTTGGGGAGCTTGTTAGTAATGTAAATAAAAGTTTTTTCTTTGCAAATTGTTTTCTTTTTATACCTTTTAACTTTAAAAAAATTTTAGTCATTATTGGTTTAATGTTTTAAGATTTGAAGTTATATAATATCCAAAAAGTCAGAAAAGAAAGAAAAATATAATTTTTTCGTATATTTTACATTTATGTAAGAAGAAAAAGGTAAAAAGATTGGATTCTTTTAACATTCCTGGCATGACAGACTGTTTAATTAAATTCTAAGAGTTTTTAAGTGCTTTGATTTTGTCGTTTTTGTAGCAATTTAATTTTAAGTTAGACTTAAGTTCAACTGTCAGGAAAGTTTTATAAATACTATCTTTTTTGGATTTTTGTTCTTTGAATTGAACTAGTTATAGTTCTGAGGTTTTCTTTTTAATGACTTTTTGATTTGTGCAAATTATTACAACTTACTTAGTCTCATGTTTTGGGTCTACATTTGTACAGGTACATAATTATTTTCATAATAAGTNGGCTATCATAAGGCTAATTAAATGATTGGAATAAAGTAATTTGACACTAGAGGTAGACGTTAGGCGCCATCTCTTAAGTAAATTAATAATCATAATTAAATAAATAAATTATTAAATAAATTTATACCTTCTGGACCTTTTAAACCTTCTGGAATAAAAGAACTGGCCTGGGACGGGGCTCAAACCCGCAACCTCCGCTTGCCGTGCGGTGCACTTGCCAGTTATGCCATCCGGACCCCGAGTGAGTCATCGCTTCCAGAAGTATATTACATTAGATATAACCTTACTTGGTTAAATACAGCACTGACTGGGGATGACTCCTTCACCCATGAGCCAGTTCTTTTATTCCAGAAGGTTCTAAATTTATTTAATAATTTATTTATTTAATTATAATTATTAATTTACTTAAGAGATGGCACCTAACATCTACCTCTAGTGTCAAATTACTTTATACCAATCATTTAATTAGCCTTATTATAGCCCAATATTTAGGCAATCGTTTGGTGATATTTATTGTATACTACTTGGGCTTTGAGATGTTATTATTTATTAATTTACAGTATTTAGTTTGAAAAATTATCCATATTCTCTTTCTGGGACTAGTGATTAAATAATTTTAATACCTAAATTTTAAAATAATTTCATTAATAATCAAAGTAATAAGTGGATTTCATTTTCATAAGCAACAATCTGTTATTAATGAACAGGTAGCTTTTTTGTAAATGCACCCATGCACACATTTATGTTCTTCTATGCATTTTTGTGTATGTGCATTCTGATACTAAAATATTGCTAAACTCCAAAAATTTTTAATAATAATTTATTGCATGAATAATGCAATAAATTATTGCAATAATTATTGCTTTAATAATTTATTGCAATAATTTGTTGCTTTAATAATTTATTGCTTTACAAACAATAAAGTCAATTTTGATTAAGATTTATGTTAAATTAAATTCTAAAATCTCAAAACACTAACAATATATAAAAACATTAATCATAAACTTTATTTTTTTAATCAAAAATAATTTCAAATTTATTTCATTTTGCGCATTCTTATTTCTCAAAAGACCTAATGTATAAATTAATACTTATAATGCTAAAAAAATTACAATAATTCAGATATGATATTTCGACTTAAGATTAAAACTTTGTTTACCTCAATATCTCGTTGGAAATTGAAAAGATCAATCTTTTGCCAGTTGCTACCATCAAGTGCTAACACATTCCAAGCCTAAATATAAAAATTGAAAATTATTATCATCAATTTTTTTACAATTTATTGACAATATAAATTACAGACCTAAAACAAATTCAAACATTTCTAAAAATTTATTTAGAATATAAATGATTACTAAGAGATTACTATTTTCATAAAAGTAAGCAAAAAACTTTCTTCGTTTATACTATTCAAATATATTTGCATAATTCATTTATACAAAGAAAAATTATTTTTCTACTATATCTAAATGAAATTTATGATTACATATAAATATTTTTTTTACCAAATTCAAAACTATCACTTTAAATTCAAATTTTGTATTATTTGTATATATCTTCATTTTTAGAAGTATAATTATATAATTAGAGTTATAATAGTAAAAATTTAAATAAAGAAAAACATTACATTCTAATTTGGTTCATTCTTTTAAAACATTCTAAAGCACAAAAAAATAGTATGGATTTCAATCATGACAAATTTAAAACATATTATTTTTTAAATTTTAATATTAATTAAATTAACTTTTATTTTAATATTTTAAAAATTACAAAATAAGATTTTAACTCTTATAGATAGTCTTTAACACACTATCATTATTTCTATAATGCCACAGCTGGAAACTTACAATATGAGACCAGCAGTTATGATGCACATTATGTATTGGAATAAAGAAAACTTTCTATATAAAATTTACTTTAATATTTCAAACACTATTAGTTTATGACTGTATAAGTATTAAGACATTTTTATTAAATGATGAATATAAAATACTTGAATTATAAATATTTGGACTACCTTAAATTTTAAATTATATTGAGTGTGTGAAAAATTTCAATGAAATACTTTTTTCTATATGTATCAATGTATTAAACTTCACAAAGAAAATATCAAACTAAAAACAAACAAAATTTGATTCTGTAAAAAATTCTTGATTAATTTTTCTGCTAAGGATAAATACAGTTACAATAGAAGTTTTTACCAGAAATACAGATGTATAAAGTAAATATTACTGAAATAAGTAATGATCACCTGAAAGATCAGGCTAGAATGTGGCTAATTAAACCAAGTAAGGTTATATCTAAAGTTAATATACCTCTGGAAACAACGACTTGCTTGGGGTCCGAGTGGTGCAACAGGCACAGCAAGTGGAGATTGCGGGTTCAAGCCTCGCCCCAGGTCAATTCTTTTATTCCAAAGGTTCTACATTTATTTAATAAATTATTAAAGTTATAATTATTAATTTAATCAAGAGATGGTGCCTAACACCTCCCTCTAGTGTCAAATTGCTTTATAATAATCATTTAATTAGCCAAATTCTAGCCAGTTCTTTCAGGTGATTGTTGGTTATTTCATTATATACTCATTGGGCTATAAGATGTTTATTATTTATGTAAATATTACTCTTTAAATACATTAATGCAATAAGCAATAAACAAAATAATTCTAAATTGTATTTCATGTCCTATAATTTTTCAACTATAAACAAAAAAAATATAAAACTGCATGTAGAATGTAAAAGAGTAACTCAAAAAATTTTTATTATATATAGAATCAATATTGCAAAATGCTAAACAACTTCAGCATGCATGCCTTTCATAGCACATACAATTTTCAAGTGACAATTTCTCCAGCATTCGCAGTCTGTCACTACACAATTCTGATCTTCAGTTTGTCAAGGAGAACCATTAAACACTATTAGTTAATTGCAGGTTCATGCCTCTCCAATGGACTGACCATGTGAAATTTCTAGATTTCTTCATTTATCTAATAGAGGCCAGTTGTCGATAAAAGTCAACCCAAGAGACATACACCTTGGCAGATCACCCATGTGTTCTATTGCCATATCTCAAACGAATCTTATTTCCTTTTTTTAATATACATTATGTTTCACTTGAGAAAAATTAACAAACAAAACACTCAAAAAAAAGTAAAGTATTTCTCATAAAAGCTGGAAATGCATACAGTAAAACAAAATCAAAATGCTCCTTTGAATGACTTAAATAGCCTGAAGCAGGCCACTAAGTAACCAAAAACATTTGTACTTTTATTCAATTGATTTCTGGAAAAATAACAGAGGTGTGTTGTGATTTATTAAAAAGAAAAAGTCTTATTACTGGAAACTTTAAAATGACTGACTCTCAGATGTGAATTACCATGGAACAGTCAATGCAAACTGGCATTTGGCCTGACAGAATGTGCATTTTATAACTTCTAATTTGAAAATAACTGATCACAACTTGGACTGTAGATCACCATAATTTTTTTGAACTCTCCAGACTGTGGCTATCAAGAAGACCTTTTTTCAAGTCCACTGTAGGTTCAGCCAGGCCCACAATGGGAGTGCTGGTTGGTACTGTACATACCTAGTAGGGAGCTTCTGTGATCTGACTTACTGAGTTGATGGGTGTAGTAAAATCTACTGTTTCCTTGATCACATCTTAGTATGCAAAAACAGGCAAAACATCTAACAAGCAACTGTAGTTGAAAGTTAAAAATGCATGTGAAGGGCAGAAAAGAACTTCATTAAACTGTAACGAGAAATCTAAGCAGTTCCATTTGCAAAATTGACTGCAAATGCAAGGATAACAGTATCAGTGCAAACCATCTAATAAGCACTGCATAAAGATAATTTCAATGGCATGGCTGCAACAGCCAAATCTTTGTTGACACCATGAAACATCAAACAACATGTGCAGTGGCAAAGAGTATAAAACACAGACACCGGAAACATGGGAACATGTGATATGGTCGGACGAGTCTACTTTCAGTGAGTTTCTAACTTCCAATCTGGAGATAACCAGACGCAGCTTACAATTTGACTGCAGTCAAGATTGTAAGATGCATCTGGTAATCTCCTGGACAGTTGGAAACCAACTGTCAAGCATAGCTGAGATTCCTGTATGATTTGGAGTGCAATACCATTCAACTTGTTGGGTCCAATAGTCATCCTCAAAGGTAAAATAATAGCCCAGAGGCATCTGCATATTCTGAGTAACCAACTCTATCCCATGATCCAAACTTTGTATTTTGTTTCCAAATGACAATGCAATCTTTCAGAATGACAATGCTCCTATCCATATTGCTGTTTGATCTTAGTTCAAGAAGCATGAAACTGAAGTTAAGCATTTACCCTGGCCACCCCAATCACCAGACCTGATTATTGTTATTTAGAAATTTAAATTATAAAAA